TAAGTTCTTATCTTTTCATTTTTGTTATTAGAATAACTTACTTTATTTTGTCATCTTACGCCGAATATCCATAAGTAAACTGGATGCTTTATCAGCCTTTGTAATTTCATAGGCTCGCGTATTCACTTCACATTGGTGTTTAGCTATATTCGTTTTTATTCAATCGGCTTTCTTTAATCGTTAAGCTTTAATTGCTTTTTGCAACTCCCTTGGTGCATTCTATTAACATTGGTTCATACGTTGCATTGGAAGATGAGAGGAATTGTTAACATGTCGTTTGAAATTTCATTCGCATTCATTTTTGCCAATTCCAGTGTCCTTTTAGAAAACCTCTAGGGTCATAAGCCCATGCTAATGAACTTCCTTATACGAGTAACCTTAAAGCTCTTGTTAGGCTATTTATTTTGATTTAGCCCAATTTAATGTGTATTTTACTGCAAGCTTTTTTCTTAACCACTATAATGCTTATAAAATAGTGAGGTTGGGTGGCTATTTCGAGCTTCTCGTCTGCAATGCATTGTAATACTCCGAACTAATATTTTCTCTTCAGTTTCTCTCATCTTTCTTGTTTATTTTGGCTTCTGTTTGTTGGACTATCTTATACTCCTCCCTTTAGCATCTTTCTCGGGCTTGGAAAGAACTTCAGACCCTTACAACGCATAGGCGAATGAAATTAGAGGAATCATCTGCCTACCAAGACTTCCTAGATGGCGTTGAGGAAGAAGAGGCGTGGATACTTGAAAAACAACATTTACTTAGCAGTGAAGATTATGGTGATACACTGGCTGCAGTCCAAGGTCTGCTTAAGAAGCATGATGCTTTTGAAATTGATCTAAAAGTGAGTTTTTTTTGTTTCAACAGCTTACGAGTTAGTGAATTACTCACTTTGGCTGATTTTTTTTCTAAATTTTTTCAGGTACACGGAGAGAAGTGCAATGAAATGTGTGCTAGCGGCAAAGCCCTAATCGCAGCCGGGAATCATAACGCCGCCGCCATAGAACAGCGTTGTGAAGGGTTAAGAGAAAAATCAGATGTATTGGCTCGTGCAGCGCAGCGCCGCAAAGCCAGTTTGCAAGACAATTATGCTTTCCTTCAATTTATGTGGAAGACTGATGTTGTAGAGTCCTGGATTGCTGATCGCGAGACACAGGTTCGTTCCGATGATTATGGCAGGGACCTAAGCAGTGTTCAGACACTCTTGACCAAACATGAGACTTTCGACACTGCGCTTGAGTCGTTTAGAACGGAAGGCATCGATACTATCATCGCTCTGCATAATCAACTTGTGGAGGCTAGACATGCTCAGAAGCCAGCAATTCAACAGCGGTAATATTTTCACTTGTCGAATCATCCTGATCATCTATGTTTACTGCTTATTTTTAGATCAATTTTCGAAACAATTTATCTCATTCCGTACTCTCACAATATAGAGGGTTACCTCTACTAAAGACTGTTTCATGTTATTGTCATTGGAACCATAATCAACATCTTTCTCCACTTTGGTTCTAGTCTGTAATTATGTTGACTGAGAATTACCTGTTCGCTATTTATTCATATCGCTGATATAATTCGTTGAAATTCCGCCTTGGTACATTCACGTCCTGTGAGCTGCTCACGCTCAAGAGACTTGGTTGATGAATAACTGCTCTCATTTACAAGCTTGCTGAAAGTGGCTTTGAAATTGGATTATAAAAAGAACGAGACTCGATTAAATTTGTTTGCAAATTCAAACCTCATTTAATCAAGTTAAACTTTAAGCTTTACAAGGTGACCCACGGTGTTTCATAATATCCGTCTGGTAGTTATTCAAATAATATAAATGTGTCACGGCAATTCCGGTATTCGGAATTGAGTTCTCGAAAATCTTTCTTTTTAAGTGTGGCTCACTCATTTCGACTAAGTGCTTGATGAAGAGATTTTAAGGTCGATCCCATCAGAAGACTGTCGGGGATTTTTGTTGGCCAGCTGTTAGTTGGCTTTATTGGAGCTTTCTTGCTAATGCTGTTTTCGAGGCAATATCCTTCCCTTCGTCTATCATATGGCGAATGCCATCAGTAGGGTAGCTTTCTTATAACAATATACAAGCTAGTGTTGGTTCGACCTTGTTTTTGCAACTTGGTCGGAGCATCGGAGACTGGAATATACCTAGTCCCGTCCCCTCTGTTATAATGTTTGTGATTTCCAGCATTGGACCATTGATTTGGTACATTTCCAAACGTTTCGCAGGAATCGTCAGTGAGAGGCGCTATCGTAAACAACACAGTTACATCTTATGAGTAGCAGGTGGGGTAATCCCCTTGACCAATTTTCTGTTCAACCGTTGTTCTACCTAGTGCTACATCGCTTTCAGCCCCAACTATATGTCCCATCTAATTAATCATACAATTCTGTCCTCTCATTTCCTCCAATATCGCTTAGAGTGTGTCGTTACAAGTGGGCTTAGTGAAGCGTAATCATCTCCACCACGGTGCCAGATGTCGTTTGCAGGTCTCCTGACTTATATTCTGTCCTCTCTTTTTTTCCTACCCGCTTGTCAATTGGCCCCTGCTAAACGTCAAAATCAGTGATATGAAGACCAAGATGGTGTAGCCTTCTGTTTGGTCGCAGTCTCATTTTGCTTTATACTGTTGGTTCGACTTTATTTTCTCAACTTGGTCGGGGCATCAGGGAGACCTTGTGGAACGTACCTTGTCTCTTACCCCCTGCCATAATATTCGTGATTTCTAGTATTGGACCATTAACTGGGTACATTCCCAAACGTTCCAATGCTGGAAATCACCAATACTATCGCAAAAAACACGGGACTAGGTACGCTCCACAAGATTGACCCAACACTATAAAGCTAAGGGAGCTTGCGACCAAACAGAAGGCTACACCATTTTTGTCTTCATATCAACGACACATTTAAGCTAATCAGTTGG